TTACTAAATATCATGAAAGTGTTCCTCTTTCCATAAGGTACCTCAGTTACATTTCATCCAGCAGTTTTGTATAAATTTAAAATGTTTACGATGCTGCATTGCTTCATCTTCAGAAAACAAATATTTTTGACTGTGGGAAGAGTGATCAAATAACTAATTAGGATTACTGAAACGTCATTTTGATTTACTAATTTATCAATACCACAAAAACTTTTATAAATAGAATCAGAATGCATGAATATATATTATTATATGGATTTTGTTGTTGCTAAGTGTCGTCAAGTCAATTCTGACCCATACTGACCCTTTAGAGGGTTTTTGAGGAGCAGCTGATGAGCTTGAACCGCCAACCTTGCAATTCAAATGACTTTTCAGTCTGGTGTATTTAACCCACAGCACCACACCAGGACTCCTCTGTTATATATATGTATGTGTACGAAAATTGTTGTTGTTGTCAGGTGCCGTCGAGTTGGAACCGACTCATAGCGACCCCATGCACAGCAGAACGAAACAATGTCCGATCCTGGGCCAACCCCACCACCGCTGCCACACTTGATGCCATCAATGATGCCACCTGGCTGATCCATCTCGTTGGGGGTCTTCCTCTTTGTCTCTGACCCTCTATCTTACCCAGCATGACATCCTTCTCCAGTGACTGTTCTCTCCTGACAATATGTCCAAAGTATGAGAGGCGAAGCTTAGCCATCTTGGCCTCCAAGGAGCACTCTGGCTGCTCTTCTTCCAAAATAGATCTATTGGTTCTTTTGGCAGTCCATGGCACTTTCAGTATTCTCCTCCAACACCACAACTCAAAGGCATCAATTTTTCTACGGTCTTCCTTATTCACTGTCCTGCTTTCGCATTTATATGAGGCTATTAAAAATACCATGGCTTGGGTCAGGCACACCCTAGTCCTCAAGCTGACATCTCTGCTCTCCAATACTTCAAAAAGTTCCTGTGCAGCAGATTTGCCCAGTGCAATACGTCGTCTGATCTCTTGACTGCTGCTTTCGCGAGTGTTGACAGTTGATCCAAGAAGAATGAAGTCCTTGACAACTTCAATTAAATCCTAAGTTCTGCCAGAGCTCGGTCAACAACAACACGGAACACCGGACCAAGAGGGCTCACGAGATAGTGTTGGAACTCTGAAACAAATACAAAGCTATGTTTGGAGGATTGGAGGGTTTACAGCTGGGGAATTTAAAGGGAATCCAGAAATCAATTGTATTCTGGATCAAGACACTCAGCTGTTAGCTGCCATCTTGGGAGAGAACATCTTGATTGTATCTTAATTGAAATTTAAAGTGACAGTATCAACATAAAACCAAATGGCCACCACTCGTCTGTCTGTCGTGCTGTGGTGGCTTGAGCTGCTGTGATTCTGAGGGCTATGCCACCAGTATTTTGAATAACCGGCAGGGTCACCCATGGTGGACAGGTTTCAGATGAGCTTCCAGACAAAGACAGACTAGGAAGAAAGAGTGACAAACTGCTTCCGAATCACTAGTCACTGAAAACTCTATGAATAGCAGAGAAACATTGTCAGATACAGGACCGGAAGGTGGGAAGGCACTCAGAATGCAACTGGGGATAAAAATGCCTCCTCAAAGTAGAGTTGATCATGATGACATGAATAGAGTTAAGCTCAGGGGAGAAAAGCACACAGAACCTTCATTTGCTGATGGGCCACAACTCAAGATGAAGAGAAACAGCTGTAAACATCCATTGAAAATTGGAACGAGGAATGTGCGAAGTATGAAAATTGTATATACTGCATATTTATATGTTGTTGTTGTTGTTGTTAGGTGCCATTAAGTCAGTTCTGACTCATAGCAACCCTGATAGGGTTTCCAAAGAGTGGCTGGTATGTGCACACATTTATCTATATGTCTATGCATATGTGTGTGTGTTTGTGTATATGGGAGTATGGTGGTTCTGTAAGACAAGCACTGGACTGCAAACCATAATGTCAATGGTTCAAGTCCACCAGCTGCTCTGAGGGGAAAGATGAGACTTTCTGCTTCTGCTAAAGGATTTGCAGCCTCAGAAACCTCAGAAAATCTGTACTGGACACTTAACAACAGCAACAACAAGTATATATATATACACACAAGTAGCGTAGTGGTTATGAATCGGGCTGTGAACTGCAAGGTCAGCAGTTCGAAACTACCAGCGGTTCCGCAGGAGAAAGATGAGGCATTCTGCTCCTGTAAAGATTTACAGCCTCAGAAACCCTGTGCAGGGTCGCTATGAGTTAGAACCAACTCCACGGCACTTAACAACAACAACATATATATATACACACACACACACACATATGCATTGTCAAGAACTTGATTCTTCTTGGATTAACCATCAACACTCTTGGAAGTAGCAGTCAAGAGATCAAACGGTGTATTGCACTAGGCAAATCTGCTGCACAAGACCTTTTTAAAGTGTTGAAGAGCAAAGGTGTCAGCTTGAGGACTAAGGTGTGCCTGACCCAAGCCATGGTATTTTCAATAACTTCATACACGTGTGAAA